ACAGGCCTCTCTGGCCTAGCCTCTCTGGAGGGTAAGCAGTAGCCAGTCTTCAACCTTCTGCCAAGATCCTCTGGGCCATGGACCAACCCTGCACTCTTCCCATTGCTAGCACTTTATATTTTGATACTTTTATACTTGCTTCTGCTATTGCTGCTCTTGATCCATATGCTTGTCATCCAGTAAAGACAAGTCTCTGACATCATTCTCTGTGTATTTTTGGGTGGGGAGTGTCACTTTTTTTTTTTTTTTTTGACGCTGTCCCTAAGCTTCGTTGCTCAAGGCTAGTACTCTACCACTTGAGCAATAGCTCCCCTTCTGACGTTTTGGAAACTCATTGAAGATTCCCATGACCCTAGGGTAACTTTGAACCACTCTCCTCAGATCTCAGCCTCCTGATTCGCTAGGATAACTGGTGTGAGCTACTGGCACCCAGCTTTAAAAGGAGATCAAATAAAATATTCCTACCCAAACAAATTGGGTATTCATTCATCTATTCAAATATTTATTGATTTTAGAGATACTCTTTTTGAAGATTCAGAATTTGGTTATACAGCAAACGTAGCCTTCCCTTCCTTACAACGGAGCTGAGCTTGGAACACAGCAAGGTAGAAAATGTTGCGCCCACCAAGAGGCTGCAAAGGGGAAGCAGAGCTAATTTAAAAAGTGGAACAGCTGGGTGTGGTGGCTCAGGCCTGTAATCCTAGCTACTCAAGAGGCTGAGATCTGAGGATTGCAGTTAGTAGCACCCAGGTCCAGAATTCAAGCCCCATGACTGACCAAAAAAATAAAATGGAGTAAAATAGATAATAGAGCATGAGGAAGTCACTGGGGATGTAGTTCAGTTATAAAGTGTTTCCCTGGCATTTGTGAAGCCCTGGGTTTAATCCCTAGCACTGCAAAAACAAAAAATAGAATATTTTGTCCTTATTTAATCTATTTTTGGTGTCTTATTAATCAGAACTTGCCATCTCACCTCCTTCTTTTTGTTGTTGTTGTTGGTCGTGGGGCTTGAACTCTGGGCTTGGGTGCTATCCTTCAGCTCTTCAGCTCAAGGGGAGTGCTCTACCACTTAAGCCACAGCACCACTTCCGGTTTTCTGGTGTTTTATTGGAGATAAGAGTCTCAGGAACTGGGTTTGAACTGTGATCCTCAGATCTCATCCTCCTGAGTAGCTAGGATTACAGGCGTGAGCCTCCCGTACCTCCTTCTTCTTAATGCCTACATATTATTTTCTCATGTGAGTGTGCCCAACTTTAGCTAATTCATTATAGGGATTTGTATTAAAAAGTGGGGGGGCTGGGGGTTTAGCCCAGCGGAAGCGCGCCCGCCTGGCGCGCGCAAGGCCGTGGGTTCGGTTCTCAGCCCTGGTTTAAAAAAAAAAAAGTGGGGATCGCCGGGCGCTGGTGGCTCACGCCTGTAATCCTAGCTACTCAGGAGGATGAGATCTGAGGATCGCGGTTCAAAGCCAGCCCCGGCAGGAGAGACCGTGAGACTCCTATCTCCAATAAACCACCAGGAAACCGGAAGTGGCGCTGTAGCTCAAGTGGTAGAGCACTCGCCTTGAGCTGAAGAGCTGAGGGACAGCGCCCAGGCCCAGAGTTCAAGCCCCACGACCGACAAAAAAAAAAAAAAAAAAGAAAGTGGGGATCCTTTTATACATTTATCTTTGTGTATTTACTGGGATATTTCCAAAGGATTTGTTCTTAGACATGTAAATTATTTGTGCTAGTAACTAGGGCTTGAATTCTGGACCTTGGGCTCTGAATTGCACTCTTCTCCCCCCCCCCCCCCCACACACACACACAGCTGGTGCTATATTACTTGCATCATACTTCCAGTTCCAGCTTTTTGCTGGTTAGAGATAAGAATAGCTGGGCTAGAAAAAAATCTGTGGTAGAGTGTTTGCCTAGCATGCATGAAACCCTGGGTTTGATTCCTTAGTACCACATAAACAGAAAAGACCAGAGTAGTTTATTGGCAATAAGAGTCTCATGGATTTTCCTGCCCAGGCCAGCTTCGAACTGTGAGCCTCAGATCTCAGCCTCCTGAATAGCTAGGATTACAGATGTAAACCAGTGGTACCTGGCTGTATATAGAACTCTATATGTAAAATTTACTTTTTTTTTTTTGGTTAGTACTAGAGTTTGACTCAGGACCTGGGCACTGTTCCTGAGCCACTTTTGTTCAAGACTAGCACTCTACCACTTGAGCCACAGCACTATTTCTGGCCTTTTCTGTTTATGTGGTACTGAGGAATCAAACCCAGGGCTACATGCATGCTAGGAAAGCACTCTACCACTAAGCCACATTCCCAGCCCAGTTGTAGCTTTTTTACTCAAGGCTGGTACTATACTATTTGAGCTCTACTTCTGGCTTTTTTGGTAGTTAAATGTAGATAAAAGTCTCATTGATTTTCCTGCCTACGTTGGCTTTGAACTTTGATATTTAGTCTCAGTCTCTTGAGAAGCTAGGATTATGGACACACCTGGCCTAACTTGCTTTTTAAAAAGCTATCTATATACCATTGTCTTGTTTTGTTTTTTCATTTTTTATTTTTTTTTCTTGTGCTATACCAGAGCTTGAACTCAGAACTTCATGCTCTTTCTCTCTGGTTCTAGCTAGCACTCTGCCCCTTGAGGCACGACTCCTGTCTGGCATTTTTACAGGTTACTAGAGATGGAATCTTGCCAACTTTGAACTCTTCCTCAGAAGTATTGCAGGCATGAGCCACTGGTTAAACTACAATTCTATTAAACTACAGTTCTTCTGCTTTTTATCATTACCACTATTGCTATTATCAATTATCCTGCATGCAAGATAAGCACTCTATACTACAGAGCTACATATGGAGTCTTGAATACTATATTTTATTAGTATTATATAGTATTTTTATGTTTTTGGAACTGGGATCAAAACTAGGATGTCAGAGAATTTTGTTTACATGATTTACCACTGATTTACACCTCTAGTCCTAATCTATTTCTAACCTTAGAGGGTTGGTAGGTATTTCATATTTTTGTTTTCCAGTACTGGGTATCACAGTCAGGGGGTCTCCTATACGCTAGGCAAGCACTCTTTCACTGAGCCATATCCCCTATCCCTAACCTTAAGTTTTCAATATGGTCTTTTTTTTTTTGTTTTATCTCCTAAGTTTAAAACAGATGGGTAGGTATTCCAATCCACCAAAACAGATTTGTATTAGATACTCCCAAGTTCTACTTTGTAGGGAACTGAATTCTTCCAAAACAGACACCGAGAAGGATTTTAACGTTCAAGATATCCCATTTTGCAGGTGGCTTGAACTCAGAGCCTGGGAACTGTCCCTGAGCTGCTTTTGCTTAAGGCTAGCACTCTACCACTTGAGCCACAGCTCTACTTCCAGCTTTTTCTGTTTATGTGGTACTGAGGAATTGAACCCAGGGCTTCATGCATGCTAGTCAAGCACTCTACCACTAAGCCCCATTCCCAGTGCTGTCTCACGTTTTTTGCTCAATGTTACCACTCTACCACTTGAGCCACAGCTCACAGCTTCACTTCCAAAATTTTGGTGGTTAATTGGAGATGTCATGGATTTCCCTGCCCAGGCTGGCTTCAAATCTTGGTCCTTAGATCTCAGCTTCCTAAAATAGCTGGGTTACAGGTGTGAGCCACTGATGCCTGGCTCCATATTTCTTGTGTGTGTGTGCACCAGTCATAAGGTGTGAATTCAGGACTTCAAGCTGTCACTTAGAGATAAGGATCTCTTAAAATTTTCTCCCATGCTGGCTTCAGACCTTGATCCTGGAATCTCAGCTTCCTGAATAAGACTATAGGCATAAGCCACTTGCATTCAGCCCATATTTCTCTCATGCAGCTCTCTTTTCCACCTCTAGGTAGAGCTTATTAATCCTTTGTGTCCTTCATGGTGTTTAATTTTCTCCTTTCATTCTACTTTTTTTTTGAGATTTGCTCAGATTGGCCTCAGATTTGAGATCCACTTGGCATGTCCAACTCTACTATGCTCATGTTCAATTTTACTTGTATCAGTGAGTGAATAATTCTGCTTCCCAGAGCATCTTCTTTCTCTTGACTCCCTGAGAACAGGGTCTGATGAACAGTCACCTCCACTATGTCTAGCACACAGCTAGACACTAAGGACTTTGTAGACAACCTATGTAAAGACTTCTAGGCCTGGGCTGGGAAGGTGGCTCAGTAGAGTGCTTGCCTTGCATGCATGAGGCCCTGGGTTCGATTCCTCAGCACCACATATGCAGAAAAAGCCATAAGTGGTGCTGTGGCTCAAGTGGTAGAGTGCTTGCCTGGAGCTAAAGAGCTGAGAGACAGTGCCTGGGGTCAGAGTTCAGACCCCATGATCAGCAAAAAAAAACAAAAACAAAACAAAAATCATGACTGCTAGGCCTGTATCAGTTCTGTGACTTCAAAAAAGTTTTCTAGGGCTTCTCATGTCTCCTTAATTTTGACTGCCTAAAGTTTCCCCTGTAGTCCTTGGAGCACTTCCCAGATATTTGGGATAGAAGTTGAGTGCAAGTGAGGTTTTAGCAATTCTACAGTTAAAGGGGTTATCCCTGGAGAAAGGTCCTATTCTGATGTCCTCTATTAGCAACACAACTTTGAACAAGTCTCTTGATCATTTTCCGTGTTCCTTAAGGGCTCTCTCCTCTCCCTGATTATTGATATGTCTTTATGGCTTCTTATTAAACAGATTATAATCCAGTATTTTAAGGATGTTATAATCTTGGGGGGGGGGAGTTTCTTTGCCAGTCTGGGGGCTTGAACTCAGTAGTGTTGAAAGCCCAACAAAACTGTTTCTTACTCTTGGCAAGCCCTCCATAAACATCATCATCTGCCTCTACATTGATCTGGGCTTCTCTAAGGAAAGAATGCGTTGAAAGGTAGGTCCTACCATACTTACATGCCAGCTAGGTACCTCCTCAACAGAACACCTCCAAGCACTCATTCAGCTTTCTTTGGCACAAAGCTCAATTCTATTCCAATCATCAGTATGTTTAATGGAGCCCCCCAGTGGCCCCTGAGACACTTTCCCCCATTCCCTCTGAGGTCCGCACACCATGGGCACGGACTCGATACAAGCATGTGAAACGTGGGTGGCCCCAGTTGCTTAGAATCTGGATCTTCACCTTAGGGAAGGCAGATGGAGGGTCATTCTGGGAAGACAAATGGATCATGCCAAGAATTGCTCTCTCAAGGTTGCCCTCCCCGGCCATCTTCTCAATGCCCATTGCCTTATCACCTTCGGCCCCAGAGATAAACACACCTGTAGATGGAAAGTCTGAATCTCAGATTTCTGCACATCAAAGGTGAATTTCCCCAAGAAAACTTCAGTTTCGTCATCAACCTGGAGGCCCTGGTGGGTGAAAGGTGAGGAGCAATGAGGCACAGGCAGAAGACAAAACGACTTTGTCCAGGATCTTCTGTGTTCAGTGGCTATATTTGTTCTCTCATGCATGTTCTGATGGAAGAATGTATAATGTAAAATGTGGGCTCTAAAAGACTAGATCAAAAGTCTGTCCCGTTGTTAGGTGTGTGACTGAGCAAATAATGTCTCCTTTTAGAGGTTACCTTAGTATTTCATAAGTTGTCATGTGCCCTGAGAGGCAAAAGATAGGATGTCCAGTTTACAGATGAGTAAATAAAGTTTCAAGTGCTGGGGCTAGTTCTGCTTTTTTTGTCATGGGGCTTGAACTATGGGTCTGGGCGCTGTCCCTCAACTCTTCAGCTCAAGGCAAGTGCTCTATTGCTTAAGCCACAGTGCCACTTCTGGTTTTCTGGTGGTTAATAGGAGATAAGAGTCTCATGGACTTTCCTGTTCCGACTGGCTTTGAACTATGATCTCAGATCTCAGCCTCCTGAGTAGCTAGGATTACAGGCGTGAGCCAACCATGTCTGGCAGTTCTGCTTTTTTTTTTTTTAATACCCCCCACCCCTTCCTGGTCTGTCTCTACTCACAAAGACTGAGAAGTCACGGGGAGCGCTGTTGGCTCCCCCAGTGTGTGCCACGCTGATTGGCGGATGCTGCAAGGTGATGTCGCTCAGCTGCACATGTCCTGGCAGCCGGATCACTACCTGGCCCTGGTCACCCTCAAAAGCCCAGCAATTTCCAGGGAACACATCTGGCTGCAAACAGGGGAAAGGGGGAAGAATATTAGAACCCATGGACACTCAAGAAGTTGAGACAGGAGGGTGGTGAGTTTGAAGGTAGCCTGAGCTACCTGGTAAGCCCCCGAGGCAAAGGCAAAAACAACAAAAACAGATCCAATACATCAGTGGGCTGACAGAGCATCCCTCTCAGCCCTGGGAGAGTCCACCAGCCCTAGTCCCTGCCTGCATAGATAGATATGTCAGTACTGTTTCACACTCTGCTAGATTGTTTAAGGAGCCGAGACTCTTAGGGAGCTATATCCTGGACACTAGCGATGCCCTCATCTCAACCAGGACTCTACCAAGTTCATTAAGGTCTTTTCCCTTGCTCCAGTTCTTGGTCCCATCCCAGATTCAGGTTACAGGCCCACCTCCAGGATGACTGAGGGTGGCCGTGCATAGTTCCAGAAACTGAAGCGATTCCAGAAGTAGGCAGTGTTCGTGTCCTCGTAGTCCTCGGATGTCTTCTCTAAGTCTATGGAGGCTCCTAAGGCAAAGAGAAGAACGCTCAGCCCGCCCCTAAGCCTAGCCCATGGCTGAGAGGGGTCAGTCCGCCTCTTACCCACTGAGCTCAGCGCATAGTCAGGTTTCCGCACGAAGTCCTCATTTAGCCTCTGGAACACCAGCTTGGCCACTCTCTGCAGGAGGTTGGGCCAAGTTGGTAGGGTGGTGTACAGGTGGTGGTGTACAGGTGGCCGCGCAGGCAACTTAGTGCTCCAGTGTGGACTTTGAGGGGGCCTCGGAGACCGGCGGTGAGGATCTGGGTTGGAGGTTGAAACCCCCTAGTGGGCACGACCCACCCGAGGTTTCCCAGGTGCTCACCTCGCTGTGGGCTGCGCGAACGCTGGACATCTCCTTGTGCAGCTTGTGCAGCTCCGCCTGGAGCTGCTGCAGCTGTTGACCCTGGGAGCGCACGCGCTCATGGTACTCGCTGGAGGGGAGAGTGGGGCGCTGTGCGATTGACTCCCTGTCCCCATGCACCCTCCCTATACCCCCCCCACCACAGAAGCACTTCCACACAGCTTACTTCCCACCCCAAGAGCCCTTTCACCTTAGCGTCAGCATCTCCTTAGGTTCCTGTCGGGAGTGAGGGAGAGGGGCACGTCAGCGCTGTGCAGCCCCCTCTCCCACTCTGCTTTCTGAGAATCTGCCCCATTCCTCCACACCTGGTCTCACCCATGCTTCCTAGGAATCTGTCCTAGCACTGCGCTCCCACGGACCTCCATCATTCCCTCACCCGCCCAGGACAGTCTCCCCAACTCACATTCTCCAAAGGAGGGACCAGATACAGGAGTCCCCACCAGAGTGCTGGAGAAAAGAGAGAGATCTCAGGGGAAGGGAGAAGACCTTGAAGATGGCCGAGGCCTGAGGGGCTGGGGCTGGGGCTGGGGACGGCCATGTAAGACCGGGGTAGCACTAAAGGATTTTGAAGGGGCTGAGAGAGCCAGTGACAAAGGGGAAGGCGGGGAGCTGGATTTGGCTGTGAAATTGTAGAGCTGGGGCCCCAGGGAATCGCCAACCCTCACCTGCCAGAAAGATGCCCAGCAGCGACACCGCCGTGAACAGGAAGCGGATGGAGCAGACCTCCCTGAGGAACCGCCGGGAGGCTGAGGCCCGAGGCCCTTGGCCAACCCCCATCCCCGACCCCAGGGGTCCTAGACCCAGCTCCTGCGAACACGACTCAAGCCTCAGCCGGGCCCGGCCCTGCTCCCCTCCCTTGCCAAAGAGCAGCCCTGGGCCGCCCCCGTCCCTCCCTCTGACCTGTACACACTGACCAGCGCGCCTCCTACCAGGGATAACAACACGCTCAGCACCTGGAAGAGGAGGCCTGGAGAAAGGAGGACCGGCTCAGAGAGGGCGAATCCCGGGGACCGGCTCCTAGAGCACGGTGGTCCAGTGTCAGGAGGCGGAGTGGACAGTAGGACGAGCTGAGACCCAGACAAGGGATTGGACACTCAAAGAAGGGGCCAGGGGCTCAGGCGGGGTAACCGGATTCTGAAAGCGGAGTTGGGGGGTCAGGGGGAGTCGGGATCGGCCTGGCCCGTACTCAGGAAACTCTTGGACACCCGCGGGGGAGGAATCTCCTGTCTCAGATCCAGAGTGGAGAGAAGGTCGAGCTGCTGCTGTTCCTCAGAGACTACAGGAGGCTCCGCAAGCTCTGTAGGAGCCCAAAGACTCCATTGAGGCCTTGTGTACCGCTGACTCATCCTTCCACCAGTGCCCAGTCGCAGGCTCCCGAGTCTAGCTCCAGACAGCCTCTCAAAAGGGCTTCCACCCCGATCCTAGGTTCCCACGCTCGCCGTGTGCCCACGTAGGACCAGCCGTAGTTGGTCCCGCCTCAAACAGAAGCCCCGCCCCAAGCTAAGGTTCTGGCTCTGGCCGCTTCCGCGGGCAGCCAACCACTCTCGCCAGCACTGAGGGCCTTCTCAGTGGTGACCAATCACAGGATTCCACGCCCCTTTCCAGGACCGTCCAGCAGACCGAGGCCCGCCCCCAGGGGATTTTTTTTTTTTTTTAAGCTATGTCTAGGGACTGCCCTCACTTTCCCCCGGGTGCCCGGACAGTCTTTCCCGATCCACGCCAGGCCCCGCCCCGCAGGGTCCAGCCCCGCCCTCTCCCCCCGGGTTCGACCCCGCCCGCACCCGAGGCCCCGCCCCTCACGGTTGCCGCGCCACGGGGGGTCTGCCCGTTGTGGCTCCGGGACGTCGGCTTCGGCCGGAGGCTTCCGGCTTTGGGGACTCCTGCAGGCATTCCTGGGGTCAAGGCCGGCTCTCCGCAGCTCGAGCCCTTGGTCCTTCTGCCCTCGAACTTCCCGGGCCCCAGACCAGCCGACCGGTGCCCGCTGCTGTCCCTCGAAGTCACGCTCTGTGAGCTGTTGTCGCTGTAGAAGTTGGGCGTGTGCTTGTGCGGGGACGCGGTCGAGCCTTGGCGGGGGCTCCGCCGCATCCTGGCCCGGGGCCGCCCCTCACGGACGTCAGAGTCGCTGTCGCAGCCGCCCAGGCCCTCGGCCCGCCCTCCGCCGCCGCCGCGCGCCGCCGGGACCCCGCGGACCCTGCGCGAGCCGGCGGGCCCCGCGGCCGCACTCAGCCCTCTCGCCCGCCAGAGGAGACCACGGGCCCTGGCGGCGCGTCACCGCGCTGCCTGTGACGTCACCGCGAGCCCTGGAAACGGCGGACTCGGGACACTCACCCAAGACTGCGCTCGCGTCGCGGCGCACGCCTGTAATCCTAGCTACTCAGAAGGCTGAGAGCTGAGGATCACGGTTCGAAACCAGCCCGGGGAAGGAAAGTCCGACAGACTCTTACCTCCAATAAACCATTAGACATCGGAAGTGGCGCTGTGGTTCAAGCGGTAGGGCGCTCGCCTTGAGCTGGAGAGCTGAGGGACAGCGCCCAGGCCCAGAGTTCAGGCCTAAACCGACTAAATAAATAAATTGCATTGGCAGTCAGTTTCCAATCTTTCCCTGTATTTCTCTGCTCAGCACTTGACACTGACGTGCTATAGATGTTTCTTACCATAGCTTTATCATGCGCACTAAGATGTAAACTTTCTGAGGATGGGCATTTTTGTTGGTTTTGCTCCCTATTGTCTCCTCCAGCACCAAGATGGGCTTATCCTGTAGTAGATGTTCAAACATTTGTGAGGGAATAAGTAAGAAGGAGCAGAGGATGCCTCAGCCTTCTCTCATCTAGTCTTCAGGCCAAAGAACCCTGTCTCAGGACATTCTTAGCCAGGTCTGGGAGCATGTGTGCGTGTACATGTGTGTATGTATGAATTCCACATTGATGGATTGTAGTATATCCACATTCAGAACACACACACCATCTCTGGGGAAGGGAATTATGAAGCACAAATAACCACAAATCAGAGGGTCCCAAAATCTACCATGCAACAGAATATCAACACATCTCAAAGAAATCCAGGGTTTTAGGTTGTCCAGGTAGTCCACACCTCTAATAACAGCATTCAGGAGCCTGAGGTGGGCAGATTCCAAGTTCAAGTCCAGCCTGAGCTACATAATTAAGATCCTGTCTCATAAAGAGTTGGTGGCTCAAGTTCAAGAGTGCCTGCTAAGCAAGCACAAGACCCTGACTTCAATCTAAAAAGTAAATTAGAAAAAAATTCAGATTCTCACAAATTGGGTGGGCTCAGGAATTTGCTCTGTGTGTGTGTGTGTGTGTGTGCGTGTGTACATGCATGGTAGTCATGAAGCTTGAACTCAGGGCCTGGGCACCGTTCCTGAGCTTTGTTGTTGTTCAATGCTAGCACTTTCAACTTTGCTTCTCGCTTTTTCCTGAATAATCGGAGATGAATCTCCCAGACTTTCCTGCCTGGACTGGCTTTGAATCAAGATTTTGAGATTTTAACCTCTTGAGTAGCTAAGATTATAAGTGTGAGCCCCTAGTACCTGGCCAGAATTTGCATTTGTTATTAGCTTACATTAATAGTACAGGGGGCTTTCATTGTGATAATTGCATAGACTTGTACAGTGTACTTTGAACAAGTTCAGTTCCTCTATTAAATTCTCAAACTTCCCTCCTCCCAGGGATTTGCATTTTTAAGAACTACATGCAGGGCTGGGAAGGTGGCTCAGTGGTAGAGTGCTTGCCTTGCATACTTAATGCCCTGGGTTCGATTCCTCAGCACCACATAAGCAAAAAAAAGAAAAAAAGCCGGAAGTGGCGCTGTGGCTCAAGTGGTAGAGCACTAGCCTTGAGCTGAAGAGCTGAGGGACAGCGCCCAGGCCTAGAGTTCAGGCCCCACGACCGGACCCAAAAAAAAAAGAACTACATGCACAATCCTGATTAAGGATCTGGTACAAATTACACTGTAAGCAAACAGGTCCAAAGAGGGAAAGAAACTTCCCTGAGAGCACTACACACAGGACAGATTAGAATTCCAAAGTCCTGCCCTCTAGCCTAACACTGTCGTCCAATCTCACCTTCCTTAAAAATGTTAGCTCAGAGGGGCGGTACCTGTGCCAGCCCTCATGTTGCTTGATTAGATTCCACAGAACCCAAGAGGAAGAAGGATAGGAAGGCCACAGTACTGCAAATTAAGAATTCTGGTCCAGGAAGTGGTGCTGTGGCTCAAGTCGTAGAGCACTTGCTTGAACTGAAGAGTGTAGGGACAGTGTCCAAGCCCAGAGTTCAAGACCCACAACCGACAAAAAAAAAAAAGAATTCTGGTCCATCTCATTACCTGACTTATGAAATGGTAACCCCTCTGTACAGCACCTTAATAGTAACAATAAAAGTATATATTAAAAAAAATTCTGATCCAAGCCAAGTGCCAGTGGCTTACACTTGTAATCTTCGCTTGTCAGTAGGCTGAGACCTGAAGATTGCAGTTGGAAGCCAGGCTGGGTAGAAAAGTCCATGAGATCTTCTCTCCAGTTAACAGGCAAAATATTAGACTGTCAGCATGGCTCAAGTGGTATAGTACCAACTGTGAGCAATCAAGCCAAGTAAGAGCACAAAGCTCTGAGTTCAAGCCTTAGTATTGGCTCAAAAAAAAAAAATGATGTTTCAGGGGCTGGGAAGGTGGCTCAGTGGTAGAGCGCTTGCCTTGCATGCATGAGGCCCTGGGTTCCATTCCTTAGCACCACATAAGCAAAAAGAAAAAAGCCGGAAGTGGCGCTGTGGCTCAAGTGGTAGAGCGCTAGCTTGAGCTGAAGAGCTGAGGGACAGTGCCCAGGCCCAGAGTTCAGGCCCCACAACCGGACCCCCCCCCAAAAAAAAATGATGTTTCATACCTATCCCCTCTGTTCTTACCTTGTGTCCTATTTGACTGTGAAGTCCCTTGGTTCACAGTGTCTCTCAAAAACAGATGTATTTAAAAAAAAAAAAAGAGCAGATATAACTTGGACTGGGCACCAGTGGCTCAGGCTTGTAATCCTAATTACTCAGGAGGCTGAGATCTGAGGTTTGGTGTTCAAACTCAACCCCAGAAGGAACATCCAAGAGACTCTTACTTCCAATTAACTACCGAAAAGTTGAAGTGGAGGTGTGGCACAAGTGGTAGAGCACTAGCCTTGAGCAAAAATGTTAAGGGACAGAGTCCAAGTCCTGAAATCAAGCCCCAGTACTGGTGCATGCTCACAGGTGCATGCACACAGAGAGTGGGGGAGATCTAATTTGAACCCTGCTTTAAAAAAGAAATATATATTGTTCATGGTGCTTGAACTCAGGGCTCAGGTGCTATCCCTGAGCTTTTTCACTCAAGGCTTAGTACTCTAGCACTTTGAGCCACAGCCCCACTTCTGGTTTTCTGGTGGTTAATTGGACATAGAATCTGAAAGGGAACTCACATACAGTTCAGGGGAAGAGGGTTGATTGAGAGAGAGAGGGAGAGAAGAGACAGAGACAGAGAGACCAAACTGCCAACCCCACAAGATGGAGGCAGCCAGAACAAAAGAGTTTATAGCAGGAGGAGAAAGGTTAAATGGGGAGGAGGTGTGACCACAGCAGAGGCCACAGTGACCTCAGAGGATAGAGAAATGAGAGCCTGGAGGCTCCCACTGCCCCCAGGCCTGCTAGTTGCCTGGGTTACTGGTGCTGAATGGGGACTTTTCAGGTGCTGGGGAGAGAACTAGGGAGGGAGCCATTTCTCCCCAGTAGGCCTAACATCATGGATTTTTTTGCCCGGGTTGGCTTCGAACTATGATCCTCAGACCTCAGCCTCCTGAGTAGCTAGGATTGCAGGCATAAGCCATCAGCTCCCAGCCTATACCTTTTTTGTGCTTTCTCTTCTTTCTTTTTGGCAGCACTGGGTCTTGAACTCAGGGCCTTGTGCTTTCTAGACAGGTACTCTGCCATTTGAGTCACATTTTCAGCCCTTATCTGGTGTTTTCATTTTATTTGTTTTTTAATTTTTTTTACTGGTCCTGGGGATCAAACTCTGGGTCTGGCCACTGTCCCTGAACTCCTTTTTGCTCAAGGCTAGCACTTACCACGTGAACCACAGTGCCACTTCCAGCTTTTTCTGAGATTGATTAGAGATAAGAATCTCACAGGCTTTCCTGCCTTGCCTGGCTTTGAACCTTAGTCCTCAGATCTCAGCCTGCTGAGTAGCTAGGATTGCAGGTACGAGCTGCCAGTGCCCAGCTAGTCTAATGTTTTATAGATTCCAAAATGCATTTGGTTATCTAATGACAGAAAGAGGCAGAATAGAGATGGAAAAGCTGAGGCCTGGAGGCAGACAGAAGCCTGTCTACCTCAACGTTGCATAGGAAGACCCACTTCCTCTCACCCCTGAATGCTGTGTGTTGCTGCTGCCCTATGTATTCCTTTTATTCAAGCCAAACAAATCACGGGTCCCAGAACAACTCTGCATTCCTTTCCACTGCTTGGATGCCCATCTCTTCTCCTAACTCTTGTTTTAGAAACTCATTTAAAACACTCACACTTGGGCTGCAAATGTGGCTTAGTGGTAGAGTGCTTGCCTCA